GTATATGTTATTCTTATTATTATTATTCTTCATCCGCGAACTAGTCGCACATCATTTGCCGTAGACACACTGTTCATACGCCAAAACGACGGGCTTACTCATGTCCTGCGTGCTTCTATTCAGATTTCAAAATTTTCATGCAGTTTCTGAAATATTCCACTTTTTCTAATAATAAAGTCCCATTGACTTTGAATGGAGAGGCAGCACTCTCTCACTTTTCTGCTGTCACTCTCCTTCCTCTGGACCCATTTTCTTTCACGTCATTTGCCCATTCAGACGTCGTTGTCACACCACGATGAATATCACGAATGTGCCAAAAACAATATCGCATTTTTCCACAGTAACTTCTAAGGTCTTTAAATTATTTTCAAAGATGTCACAAAGATATCTCTCAAATCCCTCCCCCATTCATGTGTATTGCAGAGCAACAGTGAAAACTAAGTAGGTCAGAGTGCGAAAAGCATCAAAGCTCGCCTGAAAATTTTTGGTTTAACCTGCCGCTGTGACCATCATTTTCACCCTTCAGCCATCCTTTTATCTTCAAAACAGCTACGCTTGTCTTCTTTTCGAGGAGCCCTTCCCACACATGCATACTTCTTGAACCGGAGCCGTTTGTTTCAGAGGAATGGCATTTTGAACTCCCGTTCACTCCCTCTTTATTATCTCCAACCAGTTTTGGACAAAAATCCCCCCAACCTTTTTTTAACTCGCTCGCTGGCCTCACTTTAAGGTCTACACACACCAAAATCCATAGATAGGTAGAGCCATGTCTTGGGATGCTAACAGTTTTTTAAATACCACTTTTGTTTCCCATTTTATATACGTCATTTTGTGATAGACAGAGAGACGGGGTCACTGCTCTCATTTCACACCCTCACTCATTTGAATATCATTTGTTGATTGGTTGGCACGGCCCTGCTTGCTCGTCCTCAGTGGCATACTTATCACTTTGCTGGCCTCTCCCTCGTATGCTGAAGGTCATCAGTTCATGTCAGCATGGGACATTTTTTTCTCTTTCTCTGCTTCTCTGTAAACACATTTTTACAATTTACTATTTACAGCGTCAAACACGTGTGTTCACCCTACAGCAGCAAGCTATTTGCTGTATGTAATGAGGTTGCAGGTTGAAATATTTTACAGATAATTGTAATACTGATTTTAATCTCACTCACTTTTTAAGTAGATTTAGACAAGGTCTCTTAGTGGCACAGTTACTGCTTCCTTGTCTGTTGGAGTACAGCATGGGACATTTTTCATCATGTCATCTCTTTCTCACTTTGTCAGTATGAACATACAGTATGGGTAACTTAAACACGTATCAATTTTACAATGTCCGCCACTTGATTAGGTACACCTGATTTCACTCTACAGCAACAGGCTATTTACGTACAACCTTTTTACTCCATTGACAACAAGACATAGTCCGAGTCTACCAGTAGCAGTTCCCCGAGAAACTGCACGGTCTGTTTACTGTTGCAACAGCATAAAGCAAATGTTCCTTGGAGTTTTTAAAAACCAAAGAAAGTTTCAGCTGGTCAGTAATAGCTGGAAGCTTGCGTCCATGTGCATCGAGCACTTCTACTGTCCTGTGCAGCTGGTGAATCTTGCATGTAAGCTACATTAATGTGTCCCCTACTAGATTCCAACACAGTAGTTTTCACTGATTATAAAGCAGAAAAATTATGATTTAGAAGAGCTGCAAAGTAAAATTGTATGATTATTTATTTTTAACTTAGGGAAAGGGACTCACCTACCTCTGGGTTAATCCATGTTTTTGGGGAGGCCAAATGCCATGTCTGTAGTCACAGCAGAGTAAAACAATAATGTAATACATTTTCACAACGCTTTTTTTCCAACCAGGCTATGAGAGAAAGTTGTATTCTGCTGAGAAATAAAGTCTGGTCACATCTAACAGAAACAGTCATGAGAGTCATTTGCATTTTATTTTTCTCTCTGTGTGCTGGAAGATTTATGGGAAGTGGGTGCTTCACGTGGCATCCTGGGACGATCCGGGCCTGAAGGACGACATATTGTCAGTGAACAGCTCCTGGTTGGATGTGTCAGCGTCCTCGGAGAGCGGAGTCATCACCATCTACTGGGCTGACCGCCTGTGAGTGTCGTGTGTGAACATATTGATGCGGTCCAGTTGAGAATGTATAGTAAAGTGTTGTTGTTGTTATCTCAACACAGGAATGAAAATAAATGTCTTCAGGGCATAGCGAACGCCACCATCTCAGGAATGACAAGTCACACCACCTGTATGTGTGGTATTTTTGCTCTGACTCACTGAGTTGGTGATGTGTGCCGCAGGTTTCATTTCTTTTAATCGCTGGGGGTTACAGTCAGAGTTATGTTTCGTTTTTTTTGTTTTTTCACAGATAACATCAATGGTCACACTTCCTATCATGACGGGAAGTACTATGAGACCTGCAGCAACTGCCTCCTGTCTGAAGACACCACTCTCCTCCCTGACGGCAAGTCAAAGGGGCGATACTTCTTCCTGTTCAGTAAGTCGTTTTTCAAACCTTCATCTCGTATTTTAGCAGCAACACACAGCTTAATATTTAGCACATACTGCTTTAAATAACCACCTTTCTTTTCCCGTCCTCTTCTTTCTTTCTTGAAAAGCACGGACCGGCGCTCTGGAGGGTTCTGAGTTGGAGACCTTCAAGAACCAGGCAGAATGTCTTAAATTCCCTTCAGAGTACCACTTTACAAGCAAAGGTCAGCCACCATTTAGGCGTGTTTCCAGCATCCAGTGTGACCATCACAAACACTATTCTCATTTTGTGATTTCCTCTTCCTTCAGATCTTTGTCCTGATGGCAGGGCGACCACGTCAACTGGCGTCAAGAATACAGAGAAAGAGCAACCTGAGATAGAGCCTAATGTGCAGTAAAGTAGAGCAAAGAGGGCCACAGCTCTGTAAACACCCAGATAAATCTTCCTTTAAATGTACTAAATAGTGCTGTAGTGTGATCTATATGTGCTGCCATACAATGTTGTGCTGCATAATAACTTTTTAATACACTATGTTGTCTTTCGAGCTAAGAAAAATCAAGTCTAAATGCCCAGTTTAAATCCTTTTAGTGGTATTTGTACGAATCTAGTTCCCACTGGTTGTGCGCGGCAAATAAAAAGGGCTCTAACTTCTCCGTCTGTGTTCTAGTCATTTATTTTCTGATCACCATCACACTGCTGTTCCCCAAAGCATCAACAAAGACTGTTACTGAATAACATCAGTGTTAGAGGGAAGAGAAAAGATGTTAAACTCTTAAACCGTCACCACACAGAGTCCAGAACGCCCCCACAGGGAAACATCCTTCATTCTGCTGCAGAAAAGCTGCTCCAGGTCCTTTTTGAAAGATTTCAACAGCCCAAGACAAGATGTGGCACTTTGCCTGAGTTCATTCAGGAGCAGTGGCGTGGGCAACAGAGGGCTATTGAGCTCGCCTTTCAGTGCTGAGAAGAAAAAGAGGGGGGAAAGAAGAAGAAAACTGCATGCATGGTCATTAGGAAACCTTCTCTGGTGCATTTGGGCCTGCAGAAAGCCCCTCCACCCCCAGACCCTCTCCTCCCGTCCTCCCCCTCCTTCAGGATTAGCACTCACACAGAAACAACTTTTTGTGTGAAGCCCGGAGGGAAAATGAATCAGAGTTAGACGTTTTCTGTTACAGGTTCGGCAAACATCCCTGTGGCTGACCATGGCTCTGCCTGTTGTTGTATTCCTGTTGTCTCTCATTGCACTGGCTGCTGCATCTGCACCTGACTGTAAGGAGCTCGTAAAGCCTTTTATGCCAGAGGACCCCAAACAGGTAAGTCACCTAGTGTGTTTGCTTTCTCTGTCGTATTTACAACAATGATGCTGGAGTTTTTTTTAAAACATGTAAGGACCTTATTTTTTTTTATTTTTTTTTTTTTGTGCATCAAGGTGTTTGGAAAATGGATTTATGTGATGGGAGCTGGCGACCCCAAACAGTACCACAAAGCACTGGAGTCTCTGAAAAGCTCCTGGATAGACTTGTCCCCGACTTCCAGCGATCAGACTGTGACTTTGCGATGGGGAGATCACTGCTTGTGAGTTTGGTGATTATGTTATTTCAATATGTTAAACAGACTTATGTATTTAATGCAATTCAGTATTAAAAGCGAAACATTTTAATTTAGTTGTGAAAGCCAGATTCTGCCACGCCTTGTTGTTTCTCAGTAACCGGTGCATCACGGGGGAGGTAAATGCAACCATCTCAGGGATTGCTACCACATTTCGCAGTGAGTGAGCTACAGATTGATGAATTTGTCTTCACAACAGACAATAGATTTCTCGTAAAGTAACCCAACACTGTACTTTGAAAGAAAATCTGTCAGACCACAAAGGGCACATCCTGCAGACTTGCTCTGACTGCCTCCTGTGGACCGACACCTTCCGAAATGGGGACGTCACTGGCAGATACATCCTGCAGTTCAGTGAGTCCTGCACTTCTCAGCACATCAAGTCAGGGCTGCAACCTGGATGTTGACATTCTCTCTTTGCTTGCAGCGAGGACAGGGAAAATCGATCCAAAACATGTGGAAATTTTCAAAAAACAAGTTGGCTGCTTGAACTTCCCAGATGACTACCACAGCTATGATGGCAAAACAGGTCAGCAGCTATCCAAAAACCTCCAACGACAGAGTTTTAACTCCCACAGGGTGGAGATTCTGCCCTGTGAAATGTCATATTTAAGTGCAATAGTTTTTAGGTCTTCATTATTTTTGGATCGAATCCATAAAATACAATGCACGTGGTGAGGAAATGAGGCCACCGTTCTCCATCCTGCTCAGGGAAACGGTCACATTTTGTTTCTCTTTTTCCTGCAGAGCTGTGCCCTGATGACAAGGAGAGCACGCAGGAATAAAGAGGAGGCAACGAGATCCACAAAGCTGCATGCATTAAAAGAAAATACATACAGTGTCGTCGTATGTGCCGTCTGTATGCTCTGACGTCATGAATGCCAGGACGCAAAGTTATAAATGATTTAATCTCCTTTAAGTATTTACTCACTGTAACGGCATCGTGTTGGGAAAACCACATCGACAGCTGTTTTTGTCATATCATAACACAGTTATTAAAACTGTTTTATTAACAGTGCACTAACTGTCATACCCATTATTCACTGGAAACACAGATGTGTTGAATATAAAATAAAAAGTTATTGTTAAAATGTTTTTCTTATTGTGGAATGAATCCAATATATTCCACACTATCAAAGTGGTGATTACATTTTATGACTATAAAATAATAGAAGATAACTGCTTGCATGTACACACTGATGCTACCAATGTGCTTGTTCTGATACAAATAAACCCAGCACTACCACTGGGGTCTAAAGTCGGCACCACATCAAGTTTCATATTTCATCTAATCCACCTCGTGCGCTTCTTGATAACAAACAGTTCGAGCAAACACAGAAGTAATCTGTTATAGTGTGGATATGGCTGAGAGCCGAACAGTTTTTCAGTCCTTGTGTCTTAAGCCATCAGCCTGCTGTAATGGCTCCCCATTTCAGTCTGAACGCTCTCCATTTTGCACGATCTGCTGCTCTCTGTCAACTTGCTGGTTCTTGTGCTGCTTGTGTGCGAGCCGATCTCTCCCTGTCCCGGTCGCCTGCATCTGAGCAGAGTCACCACCTGCTTCTGGCACTGAGAGGACCCGAAGTAATAGAGGACCGGATCCAGACAGCAGCTGAAGCTTCCTATGCACATGGAGAGCAGGTATGCCTGGTAAGAACTGTTGCTAGCCTTGTGCGCCAGTTGAATGTAGTGAACCATGAGGATGATGTTGGTGGGGGTGAAACAGACCACAAACACCAGCAGGACAACCACAGCCATCACCACAGCGCGAGTCTTCTTGGAGCGGTTCTCCACGTTGGCTTCAGCCAGAGCCTGAATGATGCGTACGTAGCAGACAACTGTGAATATGAAAGGGATGAAGAAGAACACAGAGGAGTAGATGGGGAAGAAGTAAAGATAGTAAGACTGTAGTTTTCCTACGTCCTGCACATCATGGCATGTGGTGATGCCCAGCGACGATACATGTAAGGTCTGTTCTGAGATCAGCAGGGGGCACACTCCTCCCAGGGATAAGAGCCACATAGCCGCGCACACAGCTGAAGCCGTCTGAGGGCTGCGCCACATGAGCGAGTTCATGGGGTAAACCACAGCCAGGAAACGGTCAATGCTGATGCACATCACAAGCAGGACGGAGCAGTACATGTTACAGTGGAAGGCAGCAGTGACGGCTCTGCACATGAAGGATCCGTAGATCCAGTTGTTGCCGTGATAATGGTAGGCGATCTTAAAGGGAAGGAGCAGCCCGAACAGCAGGTCAGCACAGGCCAGGTTGAGCATGTAGATCACCGCCGGCTTCTTGGGACGGATTTGGCGCACGAACATCACCGTGGCAAGAAGGTTAAGGGGCACGCTGATGATGAAGACGAAGATGTAAACGGTGGGGATGAAACGTGTGGCCAAGCCACCCTCGAGAAATGCTTTGGTCTCCTCCGAGACATAATAGTGCTTCCGGGGATGATGGGGGTGAGGGGGGTGTACTTTTCTGGACTCCGTCGAGCCTGAGCCTCCATCATCTAAGAGTGACAGGTCTAGGTAGTCTGCTGCATCATCTCCAACCATTACAAAGTGGCCAGAAAAAGTCCGCAGAAAGGGAGTGGAGCCTTAAAAGAAACAGGGAAATGAAGCAGAAATGTGGTTACGCCAAAGGGATGCACAGCACTCTAAAAACATTTACACTGGGAGCAGTTTGGAAAAGCAGATTTTTTTTTTTTATCTGATCAGATTGTTAAATACATCCATCAGGTTCAAGCTCGTCCTAATGCCCCGATATTATTTTAGAAAGTCCGGTTAAGTAAAATAAACTCTCCAATACATTTATTACATGCATCCATATCATGAGTGTGATTCTTACCCAAAGGTTAACTCAAAATACATGAATGCATTTTCATTAAAAACAAACAAACAAACAAACAAGTGTTTTCTCATAAAATACTGCAAATAAATAAATAAAATTAAAACTTTTTTGTATTAATTAGTTGACTAACCAGTAGAGATCACACGTTTCCGTGTCCCCACTGACCATTACTACAATTTAATTGATTTTAAATGTATAGAAAATGTAACTATAACTCAACTTTTAGTGCCAAAATACAATTATACGCACATTATTTTTAACTATAAATAAATTTATTCTATGAAGTACCAATATTTACACATCCTCCAGTTTGCTTTGAACCCAGTAACGCTATACAATTTACCTGCTACAAAAAATGTTTTTGACATGAGCACCAAGGAAGTGACATCACCGAGTCTCTTGAAGTGCAAAGAGAATCAAATGTCACTATATTATCTTACCTATTTATTTATTCACAGAACATTGTTGAGCTTTGTTGTTGCTTTAGTGTATGGGCTTGTTCTTTTAATTTTTTAGCAGCCTCTAAGGGTTAAAGTAATTTACCACAAACATTCAGGGCCAGTATTTAATTCTGATTGTATATTTGTCAGATGACATGTTGGATGTTTTTTTTTTCCTAGTTAAATTGCTCTAAGAATAAATATATTCATTCACTCCTTCCTGCGCAGTGATCTAGTTAAAAGTAAATGTTTAAACCGATCCTGCATGTGTTTCTGGGGGAGATACAAATACGTAAAGTTTACTCGAGCGCCAAGAGAGTACAAGGCAAACTGTAGACATCATCATCATCATCATCTTAAAGTCTTAGGAAAATTACTTACCATTTCCAGATGGGAGCGCAGAGCTTTGAACAGAAAATACAAACAAGCAAATTAAGAGGTGATGCATGGCTTTACTGTAAATCCTCCAAATATTTAGCAGGAGAGTGGAAATTATGTTTGCTGAAGAGCTGCTGAAAGTGCTGTTATTAAAGGCAGGAAACTCCACCTCCTCTCCAGCTGAACATTTCCTATCATTTAACAAAAACCATGAGTAATGTCACAGCGACGTGGATCTTCAAGCCAAACGAAAGCCCAAGTAGGTTTTTCCAACAGGGTCAAAGGTTGCCAGACCAAAGGGAAAAGCACATCACTGAATATGAATGCATGACAAAAGCACCAAAACAACTACTACTACTACCAATAATAATAATAATAATAATAATAATAATAATAATAATAATAATAACGATAAGAAGGAGAAAAGGTTTGGGATGTGCAATTTATTATGAATATTGTTTAAGCATTAGACATCAATTATATAGCAACAACACTTATAAAAATACATCACATATAGCTTTTAAAATGTTCAAATGTTTATTAATTAAAAACATGTGTCTTTAAATTCTTTCATTAAAAAGGCACTATATTATTTCATACAGCCATGCAGGCTGCGCCGCTCCAGTTTCTGAAATAAGACCGTACTGGTTCGTCTGACATTTCCATCAAACTTCTCTCTTTTGAACAAGAAACATGAACATCACAATTGAATTCTTCAAAATATATTACATTTACAATCACCACATGGGAAAGAAAGAAATATAGGTACACAAAGTGAACGATAAAGTTTCATTTTGGTGCGATCCATCAAATTATAGGCAGAAGAAACAAATCACGGCACCGCGTGACGTTTTTGTGCTGTTCAACAAACTCAGTACAGTCCAAAGGCACGACCAGGTTTCTCCCAACTCTGTTTTTTCTCTCCTTTATTTTCCGTAGAACTTCTTGTTCAGGAGGAAGATGAGTAAATTGACATTCACTTTGGCTTTGTCGAACATCTTCATGACCGCCACACCTTCGTACTGCAGCTGAAGGAGATCCTGCCAACATCAAACCGACTTGTTAATGCGCTGGTGCTACAAATACACTACAAATGATATCATAATAAAACACATCACTAAGTTCTTTCTTAAGTCAGGCTCATGCTGTGCTGGCTTATTTCCATGACTATTCCTGCCAGTAGTCCATAGAGAAGAAAGGGAAATTCAACCATTTGTCACCAGGATTAAGTGTTGACGAGTGAGTTTTCTGAAGGGAAATGTTTACCTGGAAATGAAGCTGGACTTTTTCCATCTCGACCCCCATAAACTTGGCTTTCACCTCAAAGTCTCCAACTTCCTCAGTGGGTGAAATGTCGAACATGACATTTTTGAACCTGAGAGATAAGAAAAACAAAAGTGGACACCGGATGTGTGAGAGGATGAGAGTCCGTTTGAAATTATAGCTAAAATGTTGGAGAAGCTCTAAACAGACGTTTGACTGACTCCATAACAATGAGAGACGGCCCACAGACAAGAGATCCATTTGCTTACATTGTGCTCTTGACCACTAATGTAAAAAAGATCAAAAAACTGATAGTTGATTACATGAAGTCCAACAAAATGTAGACAACCTCGTTCTCATCAATGACACCGAGGTTGAGCAGGTAACAAGCGTTTCTTGCCGTTATCGCTGAGGACCTGACACCAGCTCTCTGATAAAGAAGACCGAATAAAGCCTCCACTTTCTGAGGCTGAAAAAGGCAAACATTTTGACATCTTCCACCTCTGCAGCAGTGTGGTACGGTACCTGCACTGTTGCTGACCAAAGGGCGCTGCAGCTGGCAGTAAAAGCAAGTGAGCACACTGCTGGTACCCAGCTTCCTGCCATCACATCTATTTAAAATATAGCATCTGGATAACATCACCTATGACCCCACTCACAATAGTCTGTTTGATCATTTCACAGGGGGGGGGAAACAGTACCGGTGTCTCAGGGCTTGCACTTTAACATTTGTTTTTCCTTCCCCGGCCTGTAAATCTGTTAAACTATTGTCTCTCTGGCTCTTAAGCACTTTATCAAATGCACTCTATTAGACATAGAGCTATACACCGAGGTGTCATAAACAGTGACTGGATCAGAAAACACCATCAACCAGCACTTTACCAATAATAGAATACCAGTACTGTAAAACACTATTATGCTGCTATTTTATAATCATCTCATTATATTATATTTGCCTTTTCCTTCTTTATACTGTAGTGTAGTTACAGCTCTGCTTGTATAACGACAAATAAGCTCTGTTCTAGGATGCCCTCTGGACCCAGTGGAGGTGGTGAGTGACAGGAGAACGGCGGCTAAGCTGTCATCCCTGTTGGACAACGTCTCCCACCCCATGCAGCAGACTGTGACAGCACTGAGCAGCTCCTTCAGTGGGAGACTGCGGCACCCACGGTGTGGGACGGAGAGATTTCGCAGGTCTTTCCTCCCCACTGCTGTCAGACTCCATAATAAAGACTTTAACTGATCAAGCACACACATCCATACATATGCAATAATACTAAGTGCAATAATCCTTTCTGTCATTGTTGTATTTTTACTCAGTTGTATATAGTATTTGTATTCTATTTTTATCTTATTGTATATTTATTTTATTTTATTCTACTGTATATAGTATTTTATTTTATTCTATTCTGTACAGTTGTGTACTGTATTTATTCTTATTGTATTCTAATTTTTGCCTCATAACTTTTGCACTGTCCACTTCCTGCTGTGACAAAACAAATTTCCCACGTGTGGGACTAATAAAGGTTATCTTATCTTATCTTATCTTAACATGAAATCAAGCACCAAAAAGCGTCTGGTGTTGGGAAACCGTAACTTTTGTACCTTACAGCCAAGTTTACTGTAAGGTACGGTTAACAGACAAATAACCAAGATGTGACTGAACAAATGATAAATATAAATGGTAAATGGTCTGTATTTGTATAGCGCTTTACTTGGTCCTAAGGACCCCAAAGCGCTTTACACTATACACAATCATCCACCCATTCACACACTGGTGATGGCAAGCTACAGTGTAGCCACAGCCGCCCTGGGGCGCACTGACAGAGGCGATACAAATAACAATTTAAACAAATATAAATCGTTTAAATAAAAACACTAAATGTGTTTAACAGCTTCTGCAATGTAAAATGACATGTAAGGATATGTAAGAAGGATGTTAGTACCAAGCCCTTTTCGACAGAACAGGTGAAGAACTGAACTCACTGGTTGGTCTGAAGTCCCTCTATCTCCAGGATGACTCCCTTCTCGTGCAGTTTTGCTGCAGTGTACTTCAGAGACTGGGGCTTCCACTTCTTACTGCCCTTATCTTCCCCTTTCCCGTCCAGTTTTATAGATCTGCGTGAATTCCTGGACCATACAAACACACCAAGGGTAACATGTGTTACCATTGAATCACAAGTTAAAATCATCCATCAAGTCTTTACCCTAATGAGGTTTGTTATAAATTAGGATACAACTCACTTCCTGTTTAGGTTATCCAGGCAAGTCTTGATGTAGGCATCATAGTAGTTCATCTGTTCCTGGTAGAAGGCAGTTTTTGAGTTAAGGGCAGTCAGAGTTTGCTGGAGCTTCACGAGCTCGGCCTTCCTCCTCTGTCTGTAGCGCCTTTGGTATCGGATGTCCTGTCAAATACACATTTTAGCTTCACAAATACAGAATGTGGGTCTGCATCTTTAGCTGGGAAAAAGAGCTGCTTATGAACCTTTGATATTTCGTTGATGAGGTCCTGGTATTTGTTACTTGCAGTAGCAAGGCCAGCCTGCTCCAGGTTACGAAGGTTCCTGATAATCTTCCTCTTCTTCTGCTCGAGCGGTAACTGGCTGTCCTCCAAAAGCGCTGGGCTGCTCTTCAGACCCTCTGGTGTCTGAGCATCCTGGACTGCCCTGCGCTCAACAATCCTAGTATGCTCTGACTCCTTAAGGAATAAGTCGCATACGAAGTAACATAATTAATTAGACTGAGAGGCAAAGAAAAAAAAATCAAATGAATATGCTCCTTTGATGAATGAAAGTAGCTGGCAGGTATATATAGAGGAAAAACAAGCTGAGAAATGTAGATCACCTGTGCTGCAGTGGCTGGAGTCTCAAGAATTTCAGGTAAAGTCTCTCCATGTTGGATCCGAATCACATCCACAATCAGCTTTTTTGTCCTGATGTACACACACACACAAAGATCAGATGTGACACATTAGCTTTTGTTTTATTTCACCTCACCAAAGTCACAAATATGTGCTTATGTTAATTAGTGTAACATCCGTTACCACCAAGTACAGAAGTAACCAGAGCACACACCCACATTTTACTCACACCTACTGCGCTAACTAGCATGCTAACACTTTAAAAATGCATCATTAAGTTGGGGGGCTTTTCACACCCTGTGTGTTCATACACCATTCTGCATTTAATCACTAGTTATTATTAAACCTTGGCTCCCCTCCACAGCATGACTTTTGTCTCTTCTCCATTAGCAGATGGCGGCCCCTCCCTGATGTTAAAAGGGAGTTTTTCCTTCCCACTGTCACCAAGTACTTGGTTATTTATGGCCGTCTGATTATTGGGGGTTTTCTCCGACTCTGCAGGCACATTGAAGTGGCTGTTGTTGAAATTTGGTGCTAAATGAATAAAACAACTGAACTGATGCCAAGCGCAGAGAAAAATGTGATTACTTTTGGCTCTATAAGGACTGTTATGTAAGATGAACGCTCAATACAGGACAGAATGTTAATCGCCTTCAAAAAAAAAAAATTAAAATTAAAAAATTATATACTGTATATTATCCCAAGGAGCTTGAGTCTTATAACAGACTTTCACAGCATTGTTAGCAGGGTATGTTCAACTTTTTTAAAAAAACAAAACAAAAATTCAGACACATTTGCAATGTTTATTTTAAATGTCTGGACTACCATTTGTTGCACTAGCTGTGAACTGTGTCCGAGAATAAAGACAAAACCAACAATGCGTTAGAGGCAAGATAAGCCAGACCACGAAACTCCTTCCTTTGGAACAGGATATGATAGAAGAGCAGGAAAGACATGCAACTGAAAGATAGCCACAAAGAAACGCACAATGTGTCAAGAAGGGTTAAGTGCAGTGCATCATATAGGCAATACCAAACTATGTAGAAGATTTCTGAAGGAGTGTAATTCAGCGTCAAAGTTTTGCTTTAAATACCAATTACAGGGCTAAACACCTAAAGCCTAAGGATTAAAGTCTGTTACTGGACACACAGGAGTGTCTGTCTCAGCATCCTCCAGTGACAACCTTACTTTGTACTGAGGGTCTTTAAGTCTCTGTCATCTCCTTCCAGCAGCTCAAACTTGCTGGTTAGAGTGAGGGAGATCTCGGTCTTTGCCAGCTGACTCAGAGCACTCTCCCTATTTTGATCATTTGGGTCAACAGCTCCTTCACCTGGGAAAAAAAGCAGTACAGATTTCAGTCAACCTGTGACTAACTTGTGATTAATCAAAATACAGGTTTACTTGAGCGTACCGAGCAATGTCTCTACATCAGGGACGTCTCCGAGGTCCTGTAGCAGCTCATGCAGCAAGTCATTGCGTTCTGGAGAGATGGCGTCCAGATGTTCCAAAAGCAGCTGCACAAACACACATTTGATTAGTCACATCGAAAGTTTAAAATGTCCACATAAAATTAGTCATTGAACATATTAAACATTTTGAGATGAAGCTTGATAGATTTTCCAGTAAACGGAGAGCAGAATCAGGATATAACAAACAGCTCTTAAACGTCCTCTTACTAAATTTTATTACAGTCAGCGCCTTAATATATACCACAAGTATGAAACTGTGACTGTTTGGTTTCCAACATCCAGCTCAGTCCTACATATGCAACAGTACATCTATTTGTAGGTAAAAATCACATCCCCTTTTCAGCTGGGATTTTGCTTTTCTTCATATATTTGAACTACCTCAGTGTACGAAACAAAACTTTAGGGAACATCTGTCAAATTCAACAGGAAAGTCATTTCCATTTATAACAGATGGCAAAAAGACACAGCTGGCCAGAACCTACTGACATCCTCAATACTAACCCCCTTTGGAAGGAAGTGTTCTGGAAACATAACGAAAGAAACAGGATGTCAAGTGGTGATGATGATAAAGGGACATAACGCACATATAACATATTCTAAAAACTAAACTTTGAGCTTGGAGCAAAATATAAACCCCTGCTAGATCTAATATCAATGTAATCTCAATCATATATTTTCTAGTAGCAGCAACAGTAAGAATGTCTGTTTCCAATAACAGTTTGTAGCATGTACAAGCATGCAAGACAGGGGCATGGAGAGACAGGGCAAGTCATTTAAGTATGAATCATGTAAAGTTTAATTATATCCTCAGGAGTAGCAGGAAGAATCTTTATCATTTTGCTTGGGTTTACCGAGTGTGTATTGATGATCTCCTCTATTGATATGTAGATGATGGGTTTGCTTAAGTTCACCATATCCGAGTATTCGTCAATATTAAACTTCTCCTCTGGTTCAGGGACATCACACGCCGACTGGAAAAATAACCTGGACAGAAATCAGCTGTTATTAGTTCTTCCAGAGCATGAACATGAATCCCACAGAAACTCAAAATTGCTCAACTTCCTGTGAAGTGCTCTGTATTGTTTTCCTCAGCAAGGTTAGCAGTTCATATTGACCTTTTCCAGTAAATGGACTGAGATTTATCACGATTTTCAGAAATGATGAGTCAAACACAAAGTGAGGCAGATAACAGCACATAGCCGCCCAGCCTCTCCCATTTAGTTTGCTCTAGTCAGTCTGGAATTTGGTTGATTTTGTAGACACGCATGTCCGAACTGCTGACACGGCACAGCGGGCTGGCTTCTGCTGCCAGGATTCCCTCTACTTCCACCATGTCAGCTTAACGCGGCCAAACACGTTCATCTCCAGGGTTTACCATTCTTTGTTATCGGAAAGAAACTGGTTCTTCCTCCATCACACTTTTATCATGTTGTTTTGGATGAAAAGCTTACCGTATTATCAGTGCTCTACATTGACCAAAACTAAATTATCTCCATAGACAAATCAGAGTACAGATTTGTGCCGTGTATTCCGCTCCTTACCTAAACTTCTCATATGTCTGTGATATGTAGTTGTTCATGGGCGTCATGTGTGCATTCTCGCCCTCAAACAGATTCTTGGCAGCAGCATGCTGGAGCATCTTTGCCACTGATCCCAGATTACGCCGCTGGTCTTGGTGGAGCTGCCCTCCTGCTGACAGGTCAATGATGTCAAAGCCATCTGGGGCCACAATGGCTGGGTTCATGTAGCGGTAATACAGCAGGTTACCTACAATCTGACATTAAAAAAAATAAATAAATAAATATTATTTTCTCTTACCTCAGCAGGATCACAATAATAAAACCTATAGAGAAGACCATGCATGACTATGAAAATCAAACACACACACACACACACACACACACACACACACACACACCATATATATGTATATATTTAGACATTTGATACCTTCAACAGCTCATCCTCTGAGGCATCTGGAAACTTTTCATGGAGGCTGTTCTTCAGAACTTTAGCTATGTATCTCATGCCATAACTACATGCAAAACACAAAGCATTGATGGGACATGAAGCACAAACATGCACTCACATACTACATGGCAAAAACAAGCTCATGATAAGGAATGCATCTGATTCATCAATATCTGCATTAATGACTGCAAGTATTGATGGCTTTCAGTGTCTTCAGTATGTACCTTAATGTTTAAGATTTTAAATTGCATAACAGCTCCATCTAGTGGTCTATACACTCTAGACTGTGAAGATCGATGAGGCACAAAACTGGGTTACTATGGTAGGACTCGTGTCACACAAAGCACAAACAACTGGCCAGATGAGCGCTTGCATCATAGCAAAACTGAACAACAAACACTTAAGAGACCAGAAAATACACTACAAATAAAAATCATGGCATGAAAGAAAACATTTAAACAGTTCAATACAATACAGGGAACTTAACCAGGAAAAGTCACAGAGCAGACAAAGGAAATTGGGCTTTGACAGCTCCTAAGACTTACGGGAGATTATCCAGTGAGGACACAATGGAGTTCAGGACCTTATCTGTGGCCGAACGCAGTGTCTGACTGGAAGCCTGCAGCCTGTTGCGTACTTCCTCATGTGACATGGCCTGCTCAGGAGTCACTTCGTAAGGCAGCTTGCTAAGGGGCAGCAGAAGATGCATGTATAAAGTTCACTGCTTTATGATTTTGACCTGAATTTTAAATGCTGGATACCTCCAGCTAATTCAAAATTCAATTAGGATAACAAGCCATTTAAAAAAAATTCTTCAGAAAGCTGAAATTTCAAGATGAGAAAAAACACAAAATAAAAAAAATAAACTGAAAAAATTATCACATGAACTAAATAAACAGCTGAGAAACAAAGTTATTTGTTTTTACTCTACTTACTTTTGTCTCATAATAAAATGTATTTGATACCTGAAATATTTAAGTGCAAAAAGCCAGGGGTAACTAAGTATGCTGGCAGTCTCCTTACCTGGCCTCTCCAGTAGCACTTTCCAGCTGGTTGACCCAGGCTTTGTAGACCTCAACAGGGTTTGTGTTGAGGCCTAAGCTCTTGTCCTCAATGATGTCTTTAATGACTGGAGCCAACAGCTGTCTGAGGGTGTTGTGACCACGTGCACCTCTGTTGAAGCTCACCACCATCTTGATAACTGTTGGATTGCCTGTCACTATGTCCTGGATCTGGTCCACCTTAGAACTGAGACACGCAGAGAAGATAGTAAAGGACTTTATAGGCACTCATTTACTGTTAGTAGTAGGTTATAGTTGAGTAAAATAAGTGTAAACTAGCTACAGTGAACTCTCATGGTATAGCATTATATGGAGCCACAATACTCACTTGATTTCCTCTTCTAGAGCAGTCTTGAAGAGTTTGAGCAGCAGGTATTCCTCTCTCTGGTTAGAGGCATAGTTGTAGAGTGTGAAGATCACAGTGTCCATAAACTTGGTGGACTTGTTTTGGGGCATCTGGAAGATCAGCTTAGCCAGGTAGGATGGATTGGTCTAAAGAGAATGGAAGAGAAAGCAAGCACAGTGTTAGGCGACTAGAAGTGAAACTGAATGAGTTCATTTAAAGTTGATGAGGCAGAGTAATGCTTCTTTTCCAATGGTTTGGTGACACTGAAGTTGTCCTTTACAGTCTATTGAGTTTAGAACCAAATGTAGTGGAAAATTGGACACTATTCCCCCACTATACCCCCCCCCAAAAAAAACAAAACAAAAAAAACCACGGTGGATGAATTATACAAGTTGCATCTGCGAATTATCTACAAATATCTTCCAAATAACTTTGGGACCAGCAGTATTTTGAGTCTTTTTCAGTTGAAATGCCATGACTGGTTTTATATCACGAACTGGGCGGGTGGAAAAGAAATCAGACACATTTTTCATACCTGTAGTAGATAAAAGAGATGTTGGTAGGCCTCGAGTTTCCGTCTTTTGCCTTTACTCAGGCCCTTAATACCGAGTCTGTCTCCTGCCGTCGGGTCATCTTTACTCGCCTTATTTTTCTTGCTCTTCATTTTCTTATTATGGGACACGACATCCTTTTCAAAGAAACAAAAAGTTAAATAGGAGTTTGGCTGGATAATAGATAAAGAAACTTCTTCAGATTTTAGTATCAACAACATTTTACTCAAACTATAAATGATTTCAACCCATTTTTATTAACTTTCCGTTTTCCTGTCACGTATTAATTAGAGGTGACGGCAACCTGCAGAGTGATCCTGTTCTTCACTAGCAGTCCAATCTTTATATCCATTAGGTTCAAGTCTTTCTCCATCTGTTGATTGGAGCGAATCTTTGTGACTACTTCCTCCCGAAGCCGTGTCACTTCCTGCTCTTCCTGTAGATCCAGAGGGCTCTGCTCCAACAAGTGGACAAATTTACGCACCACTGACAGAGGAGGATCCTTGGCTCCAGCTGAGAGTTGGTGTAAAAAAAATAAAGTCAGCAACAAATGCAATTTGCAAGTTTATCCTTCATCATGTTCTGCATTTATATTACTGTCTGTGCTTGTCAGCTGTGTTTTTCATATTATATATATTATCATCAGAACTGAACAATATTTTTGGCTTGACTGTGAGGAAAAATTGGGGGAAGAAAATTGCAAATAATGTGGTTGTTCAAAAATTTGTGACTCGCTGTAAGTTGCAATCCTCTAAAACTGGCAAAACATGCATCAAGACCATAATTTCATATTCAAACGCAGATCTAAATTCTTTATGACTCACTTAGCGTCCTGTAGTCCTCTCTGGCTTTGTTGGCCTTCAGAAAAGCTTGGATTTTCACAATTTCTTTTTCCTAAACACAAAAATGAATCAGAGTTTTAGGAAGCATGAAAACAAACCCAAATCCTGCACCTGAGTAATGCCAATGAAGTATTACTTACATGATCTTTGAAGAACTGTTGCCTCTGATTGTATTCACGTTTTGCTTTCCACATCTTTACAAAAGACTGGATCTAAATAAAATAAAGTATTTATTAAACAGTTATAAAAAAATATATATACCAGGCGTTTGATGCAGCAGCTATGTTGCTAATGTTATTCACAGGTCAATTAGTGTTAATAAGTGTTAAAAATCCCAATTAATATTCTCCTGTTTCAGTCTGTCATTCATAACAAAAATAATTCATCACCTTGACAATGGAAGCAACATTTTTCTGAAGCAAATTCATCCTCTCTTTATACACTTTCCTCTGTTTGTAACCTTTCCAACAAGCCTGCAAAAAAAGGAAAAACTGAGACAAACATGTACAAGCAACAACAAGTTCGGCATCAGCTTCACCACAAATCAGTTTATGAAGCTTAGTCATGACGTTTAGACATCAGTTTTCTAAAGACATTGTTGTCATTGTTGGTTTGTCTTCTAAGAAGATGCAAACAAAATATGCAGTCAGTACAGTGGTTGTAATTTAATGTAAGTATATAGCTACCTTTGCTTATGATTTGTTTGTGCTTGGATAAGCCCTAGACATCCAGAATCAATGAGGAATATTTGACTAATTACTAAGTACACTTTATAGGGGTTCTATAAGCTACCTGCAGTTTTATGACATGTGGTTCTTGCTGATGCAGATACTCCATTCTCTGGACGTGCTTCTTCCTGACCAGGTAACCTCTGACTCTCGCCTGCAGCTTGGTCACAAAGCACTCATTGGCCAGCCATAGCTGTTCCCTGTTATACTCAGCAGTCACACAGGTCACCACATTCTGAGGGAAAAACCAAGCATACCCCACAGCAGCATGAACATTGTTTGTTTAGATGCAATCCAAGTATAAACAAATCTCACTACTGCTAAAGTAAAAATGAAATCAGCCCAATCAATGGGAAATGTTAATAAAGCTTTATAATCAAGGGGTAGCACCTGGATTTCTTCTTTACTGAGATGTCCGCTGTTCTGTTCAAACCCTTCAGGCTCCTCCCAGGTGCCCTGTTCAGTTTCCAGGTTATAGAAATAGTCATATTTGTCCTTGATGCAGTGTTTTACCCACACACCATCAGTGCTGCCTGGAGGAAAGCAGAAAGTGCTTTTTAAAAAGTCTGTTGGTGTAAATCTGACAAATTCTCAACTTCTCACTGGAGTTTCTTGAACAGAAAGCACACTTGCTGTCCCACAGATGTAAATCCTGTTACCTTTGGCAGCACCGTCTCTTTGTTTCTGTGAAAGGTCATCTTGGTACGTGTCAGCACATTCAGGAAGAACTGCTCTCAGCCCTACACTGGGAGCCTGCAAAGCCTCCAGTGTATTCTGGGAGTCCCCCTCATTCACTGTCTTGTTAATATGAGCTACTGCTCCAGACACTAGCAATGCAAAGCAAAAAGAAAAACCACTGGTGTCAGCTTCACAACGCTATTGGGTCAAATAAAACAACAGTATACAGTAAAAGTACAATGTGAACACACTGAGTAGTGTACAGGAAAATAATTTAAATGAATTAGACATCAAATGAATTACATTGACATTTTTTATTGTTTTTTTTTCAATAGTTCATTTCTACGTCCGCCTCGCTATAGCAACAAGAAACACTGGATAAGAGCATCTATAAGGCATTATGTGACAGTTATTCATGGAAACAAATCGCAGATCAATTTGAAGAATTAATCAGGCTTTACGAGAACATACATGCGAGAGCCTCCTTTTCATCCTGGTTGGCTGTCAGTATGGCCTCTTGGATTTGGTCCAGCCACAGCACTGCAGATTCATCACCGGAGCTCTACGGTCAGGAAAAAGAACAAAGATCATTCCTCTTCATTTCAGAAGACAAAACTCAAACTCACTCACACAAGGCGTTATTAGTAGCTTGTTCATCGTTTCTAAAATATTTAAAGCACCCAGAACCAAAATAATGTGGAAAGTTTTAAGTTTGTGTACATTTACTGTACCTGAAATATTTTCCAAAGTCAAACTGGGATTGTGGAGATATTTAATAGAGATAATGATTGCATTATAGAGAACCAGTGTCAGGAACCAGTCGAGACAAATAAGGAAAAGTTGACAAAAGATGACCTGCAATCATATCCTAGCCCACCACTTAAAGCGATGACCTCAGTCTATAATGGGCTCAAAAGTCAGAACAAACACAGCATGTTTATTCAGCTTGATCCTTATGTTTGTTCTCAAGCTAATTTTAGACAACATCAAGGGGTGCATCATCGACCACAAGACCATCAGGAAGGAAGTCGCTGTTTACAAAACACTGAAGCAGTCTGAAAGTAAAGACGTTACTTGTGCGTTTCACGCACTCCTCATATATTGAGGGTGTCATAAGAGATATTACATGCGTGATGTGATAGCGCAAGCCAGAAGAACATAGCAGTCCTTCAAAAGCAGCACAGCATGGAGGCAAGACAGGAAGAAAGAAAAACACTGTCCTGGGAAACCACTTTACTAAATGACCATCTTCAAGCACACATTTCACTTCCTTTATTGCATTCATGATGTAATTGCTACACATTTTATGTTGTCTGAAAACCAGCTTCTAATTCACTAGGCTGACAAACACCAAATCGCATTTTAACAAAAGTAATAAAACCAAAACCAGTCAAATGTCTTAAATGAACCAAACTCCTTGGACAAACACGATAAACAGCTCTGTAAACCATTAAGTAGTTTTTTCCCCCACTCCAGTGATTCAGAGGGCTGTGACTGACGCAGACAGCAGGGAATTCAGTTTTCAAGTCCAGGCAGGAAACATGCTTCTGTATACACTGCCAGGAAGCTGAGTTTGAGCTCACACCATTATCAGCTCGACCGCTGCACTGAAGAGATGCAAAACACAAAGTTTTACTGGTGGAAAACTCCTGACGAGAAGCAAAACCAAGAGGGCTGAAGCCTACTTAACTGGGAAATACTGGAATATCAACTTAACGGTGACATGTTTGACCTCATGCCAGGACTACTCATTTGTTTGATGGCAGTGCAGACCAATCAGCTTGATGGTAAGTTTCTTAAGTTAACACATTACTAAAAGGATAACTCTTAAAAAAAAAAAAAAAAAAAAGTTTAAATCTTGTAGAAAAAGTACATTTTGGTATCCAACAACTGGGAAAGCTCTTTTCCCAACTCAGACTCACAGAATAGAAAACCAAAATTACTTCTTTAAAACAAAAAAAACCTTCAGAACATTTTGGTACAAAAGAAGAAAAACTTTTTGCATGAAAGTTTGTTTGAAGGTGTAAAAACTGTTTTCTACTCTTTACAGGAAACAAAAACGGGACCAAAATCCAACCTCACACAGTGAATCCAAGGACCTTTAAGGCTGACTATAATGACACAGGCAGAAACTTGCATGTGAAGCCAGAGGATCCAGTGACAGCCTATACCACAGGGGTGCTCAGCACCTGGGTCATACCCTCATCGTACATCCTGTCTATGCTGGTGGGCATCCCCTCCAACGGCTACATTCTGGCCTTTCTCAGAGTCCGGCTCAGAGCACAGTCCTTTTCCACAGTCGTTCTTCACCTGAACCTGGCGCTGTCTGACCTGCTGCTCCTGCTTTCCCTTTCGCTGCGTGTTCACTACCACTTCAATGGGAACAACTGGATATTTGGGGAAACCTCCTGCCGGCTGATTACGGCTTTGTTTTACGGTAATGTTTACTGCTCAGCTCAGACCATCGCGTGCATCAGCCTGAACAGCTACCTGGCTGTGGTCAAACCATTCATGTATAGGAGATTTGCTACGAAAACACTGGCGGTGTGGACGTGCTTGGTTATATGGTTCCTGTTCGGGGCTGCTGTTGTGCCTGAGCTCCTTGTCAGGCAGAGTTACAACATCTCCCAGCTGGGGATCACAACATGTCATGATGTACTTCCCCTAGACGAAAAATCACACTCCCATCTGGTGCCATATAGGCTGATGCTTATCTGTCTAGGCTTTATAACGCCCTTCCTCTTTTGTATCTATGCCCATGTGGCTGTAATTTACCATCTAGGTCAAAGTGCTTGTGACTGGAAGCCATTTATCAGAGTCAGCACTCTGGTTTTCAGCATCTTCTTGGTGTGCTTCTTGCCCAGCGGCGTCCTGCATATGGCCCACTACATCCGCCTGTTTTCCGGTGGGGACGACAGCCTGTATGGATACTTTAGAGTAGCTGTGTGTCTCTGCTGTTTCCACAGTTGTCTTGATCCCTTCCTGTGTATGCTTATTTCCAAGACAGCGGCTTCAGAACTACAATTTATTTCTCTCCGCGAGATATCTCCGAGACAAGCAGTTATGACGTGATACTGGACATGTATACAAACAAAACAAAACCCAAGCCTCCGGTACTGGACTATTGTTGGAACACAGCAGGAAGTCACAAGGGAAAATGACAAACTGAAGACCGGACATTGTGGTTAACATTAGGCTGTATCCACGTTACATCCAGAATCAGAAACTATTAATGTGGCCATAGTGTTATTTGTTTCCATGTATACTAAAAACATGTTTTTATGTGTCATGTTTTGTTCATTTTTTCATTAAAATTATATCCAAAAGTCAACAATACTTTTTGTAAACGATATATCCGTTACTTTAAAATCAAGATTGAGCAATTCAGATAGATATATACATGACCTAATGTAAAGAAGTGACATAGGATAAAAAACTGCTGTATAACAAAACTAACAGGACAAAGTTATGACACGGTTTAAATAATGATTCATGTAGGAAGTGGGGGTGCTTACTGAACCTGCTTTGCTCGCCCTTTCCTTCCAGGGGGAGTCCTCTACCTCCTGATCTTAATCATCATCCCGTGCCTTCTCCTCCCTCTGCTTCTCTGACAACACATCACCCACGCACGTAGGGTCTCAGGGGGGACATGAGCTGCATAGGTTGGTAGGGCCATTCACATGACTGCACAGCCAGCAAAGCCACATGTTTCTCATTTTTAATTACCACACAGTAAGGGTGGGAGATAATTCAAATATACTCGATGTATTGCAAGTTTTTCCACTCACGATAGTTAAAATGGCTTTATAAATTGCCATGGCAATATTAAGCTGTCTGCATGCAATTCCCTGTGAGGTTTTTTTTTTTTCCTCCCACATGCTGCACAATCATTAATTCCCCTCCCTCCCAAACAGAAAATTTTCTACCTGGCGCACTGCGCTGAGCATGTGTGTTTATATCCTACCAGACGAGCGAGGGAATGAGACTCGCTGAACAAAATGCGGTAATTTGCAAAACGTGCCGTAAACATTTGCCGCAAGAGGAAGCAATACCACGAATTTATTCTACCAGCTGAAAAGTTCTCCACTACAAAATTAAGACTTTTTAAACTCCACATGTCAACGTCTCCCCACACACCAAAGAAAACATTAAATAAACCAGCTGTGATACTTGTGACTGTTCTATGTCAGTCGTTTTTATAGTCACTATCTAGACTTTTGTTTCTGTAATTTGAGGTCATCAAATTTTTTATTTTATTATTTTTATGTGTTGTAAGCTCAAAAGAGCACCTTTTTAATTTCAATTGTTTTATTTTGCCTCGTGAATTCTTGCTTGACGTCTTTTGTTTGTTGAAGGTCGAGTGTTGACCACAGAACGAGAACGAGTCATTTATGAAAAACCACACACACACACACACACACACACACACAGCAAAATTCTATAATTCTATATTTGTGTCCCTCCCTCTGTTTTGTCTTTCAGTTGCTGCATATCATTTAAATGTGTGCTTTGTTAGCGAGTTGGAGACCGAAATGCCCGTTTATTTCACCCTTTTTTCTATCTTTCACCAACCTGGCATCACCCCCAGCTTAATACCCACACAGATAATAATATGAATAATAAAATAAAATGAATAATGACCCAAAAACATTTACAAGAGTCTATGCCCCTCTTAGGAAAGCAAATGTGCTTTCCACAATAAAGCATTCAGACCATGATCCTGCTTGCTGCACAGGACCGGTTTAAAAATAAATAAATAAATAAATAAATAAACAAAATAAGGATTCGTTCAGCTATAATGACGTTTTCCACAATATCTAGCTGTGGATGGTGCAAGTATATTTTTCTACTCAAATTCGAAATGACTAAAGAAATGTTCGCCTACCTGGCAGAGAAGTTGTTTGGTATTTTGAAGGACATCATGGTAGTGTTTGGCTGTGGCTGGGTTCACCCCCGACAACTTGGCTGTAGGGAGGAGGAGGGCTGCAAGGGTCTGCTCATGATCACCTGAGTTTAGTGCCTCATTGATCTCAGCTATGGCTATGATTCCTGTAGGTGGAGGACCAAAAAACAAAAAAAACAAAAGCCTCTCAGACAAGTTAAGAGCACAGATTGTGTTTCATTTTTCAGTGTAAGACGATGCCTAAAAATCTGTTCTAAGGTTTCAAACATCTGTAATTTGAGAATATTCCTGAAACAGTGGGAGTATTTTGAGCACCTTTACGTCATGTCCACCTCAGCAAACTGTGTAGTTTTACGCCTTTTTGAGCCTCAAGGAAATTATTTATGTTTGAGCAGTTTGCAGTTAATCGTTTGTTATTCTCAAAATTACAATTTAGATTGGGTATGATATCGTAGCTTGACTCAGTGTGATGTCTGATATGGTTCTCTTAGCAGACAAAAGCACTTTAAGGAATCACCAGCACCTTCAGGTTTCAGTCCAGGCGTGAGTAATTGTCACATGTCTGTCTGAACTGTACATGTCTGTGAGCTTCTACATGCCTCATCTCTCTCTACGTACAACATATTGCCGTATGTTACTCAACAAAAGATCACTGTGTATTAGTTACATTTACAGCAAGTATCAAATCTCCTGCTTTTATTAAGTGGCCAGTTCTAGTTTTGTTATGTGCAGATATGTCCTAGCAAAGTTTAGAGAACTGACATTGTTTTACAATGTACGAGGAGAAACAAGGAGAAGCCTAATGATTCATTCAGTAGTCACCAAATTGCATAGCAAATTGATTAGCTGCACAGGGCAAAACACTTGCTAAAATATGTAAACTAGAAGAGGAAATCAGCAAGACGTTCTTACGTTCATGCTCTTCTTGGACCTGAACATTCACGGTGTCGATGCATTTCTGGACATCATTCCAGGTTAGAAACTCTTGGCCCGTGGAAAGCGCTTCAGCTCGCTCTTTGATAAGCATGTCAGAATACCTGAGGAAAGAAGGACTTATGTAACCAGAAATTGTTTGGATGCGCAAATACATTATAACTTAATTTTTAAGTCATAAATAAATAAAAGAAAAAAATATGACATTACAGCAACAACAAAACACTCATGGGTGTTATTTCTGGTGTCCTCATAGCCTGCCCACCACAGCACAGCTGCATTTAGCTCTTTAGCACCACAGCTGAGCAGACAGCAGTGTGGAACCAAGTGTTGTCTGTATTGTAAACTGATAACTTTGTGAAGCAAATCGTTAACCTTATAAGCTTATAAGTGTCCCGTCATACAGTACAGCAGGACAAATGTCTGAGAGGAACCAAAAGTTACACCAACCTGCTACCCATTTTAGACAAACTGATTTTTGTTCATGTGGTGCATTCAATATACCAAGCAACTAACAGACTAGAAGAAAAATCATCATACAGAAAAAAAAAAAAGCTCTGCAGATTTTATCTGGTCAAATTAGTTTTTCTCCCCCTCAAACAACCACCAAAGGGATTTTGGGTTTCTTCCCAGGATGAAATTGGGGGTCTTTCTGTTGTTAGGTGAATGTGTAAATCACTAAAAATTCACATATTGTATGTTCTTGTTAGTATAATATAAATTAAATGCTATTAGGTTAAAACTACCACAATATGGTTGAACTGTTATGTTTAACTACCAGGGATTAGTTTTTTAACTATTAGCTGCTGCACAAAGTGACCGAGATAAGTAAAGAGTTATTTATTAGCAGTAATGTTGATAAGAAGTTGGGTAAAGTAGTTATATATTAAAAACTGCCATAAACATGTTGTATAAACATTCTGCAATAAATCACAATAACTCTTCTTTATGGTCTCTGTGTCGTTTCCACAGCCTGACTTAAAAGTAGATGAATCCACTAAATGGGAACACTGGGGGGGGAAGGTGAGTAAACAATAACACTTCCTTTTGCTTCCTCATCTATCCTGCGGCTATCTTACCTGTTAAGGTTGTCTTGGTCTATGTTGGTAAAGCCCAGGGGAGAGTCTGTTAGCTGCTCAATCACAGCCTGTGGGTCTTTGGTGTCCAGTACTTCATTCAGCACTGCGACAGCTGACAGCATCTCTACAGCTACACTCAGTTCCTCGTGGCTCAGTCCAGACTGAAAAACATAAAATACTGGATCAGAAAATTGTTGCCTGCACAGAGTAAAAGTCTGAAACATGCCTCACCCGTCCCCCTTGTAGCTGCAAACTGAAAAGCTCAGCCTGGTAGAGGTTGGCAGCAGTTTGGTAGACAATTGGCAGCTGTGCCTCCGGGTTCATCAGCTCCTCCACTGTTTCCAAAGCATTGCCCAGGCGAATGGCTGTATTGATTCTTGCAACTGCTTCAAGTTCTGATTAAGAAAATGACAACAAAGTCGTGTTTTACATTATAACTTGGAATCAATTCCCCAAATGAACGAAAACAGTATTTCGTACAACCTTATACATGATGTTCTGAAGGACCTTTAAGAACCCATATTAAATACTTATCATGAGTCGTATTTGGGTGATTAGCTAGTTTGAATTTTAACTCATTAGTAAACAGCCCGAAGTTACAAAAGCCACTTACTTCGTTTCTCTGCTTC